CGCGTCCTGCTCCGGGGACTCGGAGAAGCGCTGGGGCCGCTCCGGTCCCAGGAACTTCTCAGACCCGGCGCGATCCAGCTGCGATCCAGCTGTGGCGGGCGCCACGCTTTAAAAGCAGCCGCGGAACCGGTGAGTGGGGCCGTCGGGGTCGTGCGTGGGGCTCCGTCCTCGCGCTGCCCCGACCCAGTGCCTCCCAACTCTCCCCAACTCTCCTCTCTTGTCCTCTCCGCGCCCTCGTTCCCCGCTTCAGCACGTTTGCATTTCCCCTTTCCCCCCCTCTCAGCCGTCAGTTCCAGCTGCCTCACACACACATCTTGGGCCTCAGGGGAGGCCGGACCGCGGGCGGGTGCGCTCCAGCCCCACAGGAGACAGACTTCTGTCCGGTCGGGAGTTTGGGGTCCGGGGTGGTGGGTGGCCTCCCTGGCCCTCACTGCACTGTCAGCGCCCCGTCTCGGAGCCTTCTTTCTCCATCTGTGAAACGGAGGAAATAGCCTTTGCGTTACAGAAGTCAGGTGAGACGGGGGTGTGCATAGCACCTTGGAGAGGAGGCCTCCTTCCAGGCTCCCTCCTTTCCTCCTCGGCCTCTTTCCTGCGTGGGGACCTGGTTGCTCGGGTGGCCGGTTCCCTTGCATCCGTGTCCCTTCCACAGATTCCTTAAGGGTAGGGACTGTCTCTAGGCGCATCTCTGATCCTCAGCACTTGGCACCGGGCCTGACAGTGCTGTTTACGGAGGGAAAGGACGAGAGACGTGAGCCACACAAACTGTCCCAGGGGCAGGGGTTCTGATTTTGAAGGAGCGGCCAGGCTGGGCTCTTACTCACAGGGCCGGGCCCAGCGCTTCTCTGGGTCCCCCCGCAGCTCCACTGGGTTCTTTCTGACAGCACTGGTCCTGTTGGCCCCTCGGGCTCACACATTCCCCCTCCGTCTATAGATTCCCCAAAGCGCTAGACTGCAGGTGTGCAAGTGGCCCAGTCATTCAAGTATCAGAGATTCCGTGCACACCTGCCTCGAACGGTGCCACCACTGCAGTGCCCAAGTAGTCAGGAAGGGGTGTGGACACCTGAATGGGATCATGAGTGGGGGGTAGAGGTGGAAAGGACAGTTCCCTGGGAGTCAGGAGACACTGAGTTACCTTCCACGGTCTGCACCGCCTTCCCATCTGTAGGATGAGGAAGTGGGGGTTAAACAGATGGGCGGTTGTAGTTGAGCATCACGTGCTCTTTGGGTTACGTACGCCACTTAGCCATCCTCTGAGCACATTCGAGACAGCCCCGCTGAGCTCAGGACAGCATGCACGTTTGCAGTAACAACCGAAAAAGCCGAGGAGAAGCGCTTCTCTGCTCCAGCAGGGACCTCCTGTTTCCAGCTGTCCCGGGTCATGAGTCACGCTGTGGGAGGTTACAGTCATGCTTCATCAACTCTCCCAAACACTGACCTCTCAGGGCGTCAGGACCGTGGGCCCCATTGCATAAAAGGTCTGGGGGATTCCCCCTTTCTAGCACATCCTGAGAATCACCGAGCTGTGTGAGACATAAAACAAAGTAGAAACTGGGGCAGGAGGGGTGGGTCTGACGTGGCCGGGTTGTATTCTGAGGCCAGGGGTAAAGAGGCAGTCACAGCCTCCGAGCTTTTCCCAGCCTTGTTCTGATCCTTCTTTGAAAGATGCACTTCTGTTTCCTCTCCATGGATGAAACCTACAACAGAAACAACTCCAAGGAAAGAGGATCTTTATCTGAGTCGATCTTACACTGCCGCTATTGACTGTATATCAAAGATAGACACATGTACTCACACTCACAGTTTATAGGAGCCAATGTTGGTATTATCACACCCCGCAGGCCCCCACCCTGATTGGCTAGGTAAGATGAATGATGTAGTATACTTGGCATTTATTGAGTGCTATGAGCCAGACATTATTGTAAGCATTTTATATGCAGTAATTCATTTAGTCTACCTCAATCCTATAAGGTAGAGACCATCATTACATCCATTACATCGAGAGAGAGAAAGAGAGAGAGAGAGAGAGAGAGAGAGAGAGAGAAAGTGACACACCCACTGTCACTCAGGAACTAAGTGGTAGAGCTGTACTTTGAACCCAGGCAGTGTGGCTCCAGGGCCTAGATTCTGAATTGCATTGAAATTGGGGGCTATGCGTTTAGATCTTGCCTCAGTCACTTACTTGCAGGGTGACCTAGTGGGGAGTTAAATGACAGCCGCTGGACTAGTGAATTACGAGGGACCCTGGTACCCTTTCAACTCACTGAGGAAACAGACACTGAGTGTCAAGTGAGAATGGTGTATTTCCAGAAGTTAGGTGGCCAGAAAGGGGAACAAGTCAGAGTTATAACCGCCGGACACATTAGACAACAGCGAACCAGATTCAGTACGAAACCATGTACTTTAAATTGCTTAGTTGTGTATAGAGATAGCTTCCTTATTTGGACTGACTTGGCCTTGGACTGGGCAATTGGGCATGTGAATTGCTGGTGACCCACTATGTAGGATCAGGGGAAATGAAATGGAAGAGAGAGAAGGAAAGACAGAAAAAACTAAACTGTGTTTCAACTAGTGATGACACATATCTGACACACATGTCCCTACTCCCCCATCCCGGGCCCAGGCAGACATTGATCATTAGGACCTTGCACAGAACCCCCACAAGGCCAGGAAATCCTTCTTCATTTTTTTATTGATTAAAAAAATATATATGTTTTTATTGATTTAAGAAAGGGAGAGGGAGAGAGAGAAACATGAATGATGAGAGAGAATCATTGATCAGCTGCCTCCTGCATGCCCTGCACTGGGGATTGAGCCCACAGCCTAGGCATGTTCCCTGACAGGGAATTGAACCATGACCTCCTCCTTCATAGGTGGATGCTCAACCACTGAGCCACACCGGCCGAGCTAGGAAATCCTTCTGAACTCAGTGCTCTGGACAACCTCTACCAGTTGACTGTGAAGCTTTTATCTTGCTCTCCCAGACTTCCCACTTCATTCCCCTGGGGTACAGTTGAATCTCCTTCTGAGTGCCCTGGTTGCCTCTCAAGAGACTCCTTGGGGCTTTTTAAAGATTAATCTTCTCTCCCCGTCACTCCTTCCCATTTTTTCCTTAATGGTTTTCAAACGAAGAGGTCCTGGACTTGGGGCACGGCTCTCGGGGAGGTGGAATGTCAGGAGAGCAGAGGCAGACCCTTCGAGATAGATCACTTTGTCCATCCTTTCCAATTGACTGACAGGAAACGAAGGCCCAGTTTGAAAGAAGGGATTATTTAGGATCACACAGTGCATTGGTTTTCTAATGTCGTCACAAGTTCCCACAGATTTAATGGCTTAGAGAAATCAAATGTATTAATATATCACAATTCTGTAGGTCCGAAGCTTCCCTAGAAGAGAATCAAGGCATCACTAGGCTGTTGTTCTTTCTGGAGTCTTTAAGGGAGAATTGGTTCCCTACTTTTTTGAGTTGTTGACAGAATTCAGTTCCTCTGGTTGTAGGACCAAGGTCACCGTCTTCTCATTGGCTGTACGCTGAGCGTCATTCTCTGCTCCTGGAGGCCACTGCATTCCTTGGCTCATAGCCGCCTTCCAGCATCTTCCCAGCAAGCAGCGGAGAGCCGGGTCCTTCTCACGGTGAATCTTCTGCCTTCCTCTTCACCTTTAAGGACTCGTGATTAGATTGGGCCCACTTTGTATCTCCCAATCCCAAAGTCCTTAACTTTAATCACATGGTTCCACCCTCTGAGTCATGTTTCCTTTTTCGTATTCAAGGTTCAGGGGCCCAGGATATGGACACCTTCAAGGGGCCATTATTCCATCTACCAGACGCAGCGAGGCAGGGGATTAGTGCCACTCTAGTGCCCTTGCAGCTGCCACCGAGCCCCCCTGACAGCCCACCTTATGGACAGTCTCCCAGTCAGGCCAGCAGGCAGCAAACACTTAGTCACTGGCAAGTCACAATGATGGATGGTGGAGGTTTAAACAGGATGCTGTGGATTTGGCCTGGGTTTCTCCTCTGCTGGCTCCCTGTTGGTTTCTAAGACTCTGTGATTGGCTGGGTCGGATGGTACGTGCAGTCTTGTGCAGCTCTGCTTGCTTTCTGATCTCTTTGAAGTATCCTGGTGTTTTTCCATTTTCCAGCCACAGAGGAACAGAGAGAAACTCGGACACAGAACAAGTCTTTAGATTGTTAAGAATTTTGGAGGAGACAGAAGCCAAATGGGGTAAAATGAGAACAGAGCGCTCCTCAGGGACGTTGGGTCATCGGAGAAATGCCTCCGATTTGATTTATTTCACATTTTTGATAGTTGTGTGTCCAGACCATTCCTCCCTCTGGCCCCATAACATGGAACAAAAGTCCCTGGTGAAATGGACTCTGTGCTGGGTTGGTAAATGCTTGAGACTAACTCTTACATTATAGGAGGGGAACTTTTTCCAATATGAATGCGAGCTGGGATGGCCTTTTCACACCGAACTTGGCCTGGGAAATCTCCTCCCTTTTTATCCGCCTCCCTGTCCTCTTCTAAGAACAAAGAAAGGAAGGTTCAGACCCTGGGCAGCAGCTCCCACATCCCTTCACCAACCTCAATGCCCAGCGTCTGAGCACAGGGAATCAAAACACTAATATGAGCTCACCAGCCCCAGCAAATGAGCAAGAGCAGATTCTAGAAGGCATTATTCTGAAAGTCCAGTTCTCCTCTGCCTGGTAAGGACAGGGTGGGCTGGGAAACAAAGAGATCCCCATAATCCTTCCTGGATGTACAGAGAGCCCAGAAAATGATAAAATCAGAGATTGTCATTTATCTTAGAGATAGGGTTCTGACTTTTAGGGTCACTGGACTTTCTGCGGGGTTGAGAATCCTCTCTGGACCTCCAGCACTTTAGTTCCAGGAGTTGAGCTCAAATCGGAAGTTCCCAGGTTAGCCCATATTCATTCCTTCACCGGTCAAGTGTATTGGGCATTTACTGTGTGCCAGGGCTGGTGATAGGTGCTGAGGGTACAGCAGCAAACAAGAGCTGAGCCTTCTGATCTCCTTGGCTCAGCCTTTTGATCTCCTTGGGCTTGTATTGGAGCAGGTACAGATGGCCAATAAAAACAAATAAACAAGCAAATAAACAGGCTTTAGATTGTGAAAAGTGTACAAAGAAAATAAAACCAGGTCAGAGATAGAGAATCTGGAAAAGGTTTTTCCTAAGAGGTGACATTTAAGTTGAGATTGTGGACATTGAGACACTGGATGTTGAAAAGGAAGATCTGGCCTGACCTGTGTGGCTCAGTGGTTGAGCATTGACCTATGAACCAGGAGGTCATGGTTTGATTGCCAGTCAGGGCACATGCCTGGGTTGTGGGCTTGATCCCCAGTGTAGGGAGTGTAGGATGCAGCCGATCAATGATACTTTCTCATCTCTCTCTCTCTCTCCTTCTCCCTTCCTCTTTGAAATGATCAATGATACTTTCTCATCTCTCTCTCTCTCCTTCTCCCTTCCTCTTGGAAATCAATAAAACTATATTTTTTAAAAAAGAAAAGGAAGATATGGGGGGAAGAGCATTCTAAGAAGAGGGAACAGCACGAACAGAGGTCTCAAAGTGGGACCAGCATTTGAGACACAGGTCATTAGGTTACCCAAGCTCCTAGGTGGCCAATGGGGCCCCATCTTGGTACTTGGGTTGTCTTCTATGTCTTGTCTAAATGCTCCAGCCCTAGCTGGTTTGGCTCAGTGGATAGAGCGTCGGCCTACGGACTGAAGGGTCCCAGGTTCTATTCTGGTCAAGGGCACATGCCCAGGTTGCGGCTCGATCCCCAGTAGGGGGCGTGCAGGAGGAAGCCAATCAATGATTCTCTCATCATTGATGTTTCTCTCTCCCTGTCCCTCTCCCTTTCTTTCTGAAATCAATAAACATATATTTTTTAAAAATAAAAATAAATGAATGCTCCAGTCTCACCAGCTCCTGAGGGTAGAGCTTTACAGGGGTCCCATAAGCTGTGTGATGCTGGTAAACTCCCAAGTCTACTGCCCTGGGAACCATCAGCCTCATTGTTCACATTCTGCAAGATGCTTGCAGAGATGCCGCCAGTGTCAGTGACGCACAGCTGGTTCTAGCTGCCTCCTCTCTGGCCCTTGTGTCTGGTGGGAATGAAGCAGCAGCAGCAGCAGCACTGTCTGTGAGCTCTGGCAGTGACACCTGCAGGAAGCGACCTGCCTCTCTCTGCCTTTTCTCCCACTTCGGGGTAATTAAGCTCGCCTGCCAGCAGGAAGTCATTTCTTTTATTGCCTTCTTCCTCAGTGAACTCCTTGGCGATAAAACTGGTCGGATAACCTTGGCAATCTCTCAAAAGTTAACTTTTAGCAGCAGTTCAGATGTGGAGGGTGTGCGTGTCTGGTGAAAGGTCAAAGCTGGGACAGACTATCAAAGGGTATTTGTTTATGAAACTATCACTGTGGTTTCCTAGACCAGATTCAGAGCAGTCACGGCACCCAAACTAAGGGTGAGGCCTCTGAACTCTTTGAATTTAGGAGCTATGCTGTGCTCACTAGCTCAGTTGAACATATATGAAGCCCTCACTGTGTACCAGCCATTGTCCTAAGTGCTTTATGTGTATTCGCTCATTCAACTTGCCTGGCATTTCAATGAAGTAGTTACTGTCATTAATTGTTATTATTTCCACTTTACAAATGAAACTGAAGCTTGCAGAGG